CAATAAATGATTTTTCATTAGAAAAAGGGGTAGTAACAAGCTTAGGTGGATTTAGGATCTTCGAAAGACCAACGCGGTTATTAGAAGAAAAAAAAAAAAAAAAAAAAAAAAAAAAAAAAAAAAAACCTTAAAAAAAAGAAGATTATGTATCGACCATATCGACGACGAGTAGGAAAGCACGATAGCATGATCCTTTTCGTCAGACCAAACCTATTAAAAAATTGTGCACTATTTGTTGAGCTGGTTGATTTAAAAGACTGACTTCATATATATTATTCTTGATGATTTCGTCTGAATAAATTACATATATAAAATTGTGTGCCAGGGACTAGGGTCAAGATGTTGTTGGTTTCTATACTTGATTGAAACCGCTCTAGTCGACCGACGCACGTTTTCACCCTTAGGAGATCAACGCCCTAAGTGGCGGACGACGTCCGGGTTCAACAGGCGTTTAAATATCGTATACCTATACTACAGCGTGCGAACAAACGCCCTCAGCTGACCCACCTCTGCAACTGCATGTAAAAGCTTTCGCATGTGGGTCAGTAGCTCGGTAGGGATATGCCCCTAAGGGTGGTGACAGCCATTTAGGGAAGCAAGCTTATGCCCCGTGGGAACCTATCCTGTCGTAGGGGACCGCGGGATGTACAAGCTGGCGCGCCCGGCTAGAGCGGTGAAGGGACAACGCAACCCCGCACTGCCCCGGCGGCCCACGGAAACTATTTCACGTCGTTCCCAAGTTGTCTTCGTGTTCTGTTTTATTTGTGTAACTTCTGCGTGACGTGGTCGGGAGGGTCCTCGCTCTCGCGGGGGCCGATGCGCTCGACAACGTGAGGTTCTCGCAGTAGTTTATGCCACTCGGCGCTGGTGTCGCTGCCTGCATGGGGCACCACTCACGGTGCGCACGGACAACTCTGTTGTCCAGGCTTTTCTGACAAAATCAAAGCTAAGTCCTCGACAGGCTCGCTGGTGGCGCAACCTATCCAAGTTTAGTTTCACCACTAAGCACATCAAGGGTGAGACCAATCGGGTCGCAGATGCCTTATCCCGGTGCCCTGACCACGATCAGGAGCAGATCCAGCTCGCTTCCATCTCGGCCACCTCCGTCCACCACTCGGTGATCGACGAGTTTCACACTCAGTACCGCCACTGCCCCGACTATCGCGACATCCACGCGACCCTTCGGAGTGGCAAGACCGAAGAACTACTCTCTCAGGCACAACGGTCTTGTGTACTGGCACGGTTCACAGGGCACCAGAGAGCCCCGTATTTGCGTTCCCTTCACTGGACAGCTACCTGTCCGGGTAATAGTAGAGTTCCATGACCAGGCAGCCGCCGGTCATATGGGCTTCCACAAGACGTTGGCTCGTGTGTGTCGCATGTACGTCTGGCCGAAGCGCAAGGACTTTGTGAAGGACTACGTCACAGAGTGTCCCACCTGTCAGGAGGTGAACAGTGCGAACCACCTGCCTTATGGTTTGCTCCAGCCTCTTCCTATCCCTGAGGGTCGTTGGCAGTCCATCTCGATGGACTCTATCGGTTCTCTTCGTCCTCCGACCCCCCGCGGTCATGATGCTATCCTGGTCGTCGTTGACCGCTTCACGAAGAGTGCACGCTTTGTTCCGTGCCACTATGCCACCAGTACACATGAGGTCGCCGACATCGTGTTTGACCGAGTCGTGCGTGACCACAGCTTACCTCTGAGCATCATATCTGACCGTGAACAGCGCTTTACCAGTCGATTCTGGCGACGGATCCACGAGGTTTACGACACTCAACTCCGCTTCTTCTCGTCTTACCATCCCCAGACTGATGGTCAGACCGAGGTCACGAACAGGACTCTCGGAGATATTCTCCGAAAGATTGTTTATGACGACCAACGGTGGGATCTTCATCTTGCCCACGCGGAGATAGCCTACAACCACGCCATCTCGCCAACCAAGGGGATGTTGCCTTACTAGTGCGACCTCGGCTATCACCCTCGTGTTCCCGCGGACTTCCTTCGACAGTCACAGATGCACCCCGACACGAGTTGTCCCGCGCTGGATGATTGGGTTGCACACATGACGTTGATCATGAAGACCGCGCATGAGCATATAGCCGTTTCCCAGACTCGCATGGCAGCACGTGCGAACTGATCGAAGATGGATTATCCATTCAAAGTCGGTGATGATGTGCTTATCGACATCCGCCACTTACAGCTCGAAGCGGACATGCTTCCCTAGTTTCGGCGTCGCTTCTTTGGTTCATGCTGCATTCGCCAGACCGTCGATTCTGATATGGCTTTTAGCCCGGTCAGCTTCCGTGTGAAGCTGCCCGACTACCTACGCCAGGCTCGTGTGCACGATGTCTACCACGTCTCGTTACTGCGTCCGTACCGCAGACCGTCTGAGCATTTCACTGGACGATCATACGAGCGCCCTCCACCCATCATGGTGGATGGCCACGAGAAGTTCCTTGTTTCAGACATTATTGGTCCCCGAGTCCCCGACGACAACCCTCCTCACGTCAAGTATCTCGTACGTTGGAAGGGTTACCCTAATGAGGAGTCTACTTGGGAGCCCCTCGAGGACTTGCAGCACGCTCGCATGTTGGTGTGTGCCTATGATCGTGCTCGTCGTGCTGGGTCGACTGCTCCCCCTCAGCCCACTGACCCTCCTCCTTCTCCCTCGGCTGAGGAGACCGCTGAAGTCGAGCTTGCCCCTTCTGAGGCAGACCTTCAGCARCAGCCGAATGCTTATGAGCGTCCACAGCGCACTCGTCGTCGTTCTACTCGATACGACGATTGACTCTGACTTACCTTCCCACGTCTTTGACTTCTCAGTACTCCATCCACTCCAATTTTGCTACTTCAGCTCGTCGACGTTGCGACTCTTCCTCGACGACATTCCGGACTTCTCATCATGGACGTCATCGACAGCTTCATGGACTTCGTCACGATCATCTCTACCTACTTCAGACGTCATCACTCTCTGACCACTTTACCTTGTACAGTACCGTGGTTGTGTCGCATGATGGTGTCCCTTCGCCGGATTCCTCTGAGTTGGGCTCTCCCTTGGTATACGCATAGGCATCGGGACCGCAGTCATTTGCATGATTCCCTTACCCATCACCTTTCTACCCTCTGCCGGCCCTCACGCCATAGTTAGGGAAGCTTGCATGCTTCATCTAGGTGCCTCCAGTATACCAGGCTCCTTTGTTCCCTTGCATGGTCGACCCTCCATAGCGGTCACCCCTTTAGTCGAGCATTACCCGCCCTGATGGTCTATCTGTTAGGGTCATTGGGCTACCCTCATTGAGCCTGATGATATGTGTCTCCCTGTTATTTATGTGTGGATGCCCTTAGGAGTTATCGACCCCTAGGCTACATTCGCCACCCTCAAAGACCATCCTTCCCTTTGGTTTGCGACACACTTCTCCTGTGACATATGGTTGTCTCGTTGTTGCTTTGTTGCTCTTAGACCGAGGCTACTGCCTCTGACATTTCTAGGATTAAGTTGTTCTGCTTTTGCTGTTCTTAGGACTTATGACCCACCCGAGAGAAGTTGTGGCAACCGAGCGTTCAGGTTTCAGCCAAAGGAGATAAACAGAACCGAAGGAACCAAAAATTCCTACCTATTCAACTCTGGAGCAACTAGTCACTGAAAGTGATGCGCCCACCTTCCACTTTCACCATGGTGATGCCAACTGCCCAGGTATCTTGAAACCATCGCAAACCAGAGGGTGACATCTTGGGGTGCCTGACTTTTCTGCGCCAATCAGCTTGAATTGCTTTTCTCATCCACAAGCAAATGGTGCTGCGAATTTGCTTATTTGTCCAGTCATTGCCTTCGAAGACTGTTTCGTTCCGATGTTGCCAGAGTTCGCAGCCCGTCAGGGGTGCGTTTCCCCCCCCTGAGATATTTCAACGTCAATCGAATTTCAACGTCGGTGGTCGTCGGGAGGGTGGGCATTTTGAGGTTTTGGGGCTTTCAAGGGCCAGGAACGCGAAGGATCGGTAGCTCCCCGTAGGAGGCCGAGGAGGCCGCGGTCCTTAAGCCTTTTCCGAAAATTGAAACAGTGCGGGTACACTCTTCTCGAATAGCAGATTTCCTCGAGTAGAAAACGTACACCTTGTATTTGAACACAACATGTACC